TCTCATTCTCCCCTAGATTTCTAAGAAGGTCACACAGGAACTTAGCTTTCATCCAATGACTTTGGTTTGAGCAACGCCATATTGATTTGTTGTTGTTGTTGATCAGTTGTAGGTGCCTGCCCTTACTCATCAGGCCAAGGTCTTCTGATATGGCCTCAAGGCATGAAACCAGGCAAGGCTGGAGGGGGCCACAGCAAAACTTAAGCTGTGGCAATTTTATTAAGAGCAATCAGACTTTTTATACCTCTATCTGAAACAGAATATAATGGGGATTGCCAGGATCAATATAGATGTAGTTGCCAGGACACAGTGACGTTTGCATGCCATACAAGGGACACACGATTAATATCTAAGACCAATTGTGCTGTCACGCTTCCTGGACTTCCAAGGGAACATACAGAGAAACACAAAGCGCATGAATGCTTCACTGCCTGAGGGAGCGTGTCGGTCTCTCAGGAGCTGGAAGGTACACTGTGGCCCAGGAGCCACTTCACTAGTTGTCTCCATGGCTGTAAGGAGCTGATCCAGTGTGAGTTAAAACACGAGTCAGGAGGAGTAGTCCCCAGGGCTTATTCTAGAGCCACGATTCTTTCAGTGTGGCCCACAGACTACCAGCATCACCTGGGCACCACTCACAAATTATGGGCTGGGGCCCAGTGGTCTGGGCCAGCAGCTTTCAAGGCACCCCTGAGGCTTGCTAAGTTGAGATTTTTCATCCCTGGGTGTAGGTTGAGTCACCTCTTGGAACTTTTAAGGAAAGTCTGATCTGATTCCTTGAAGTGCAACCCTAATTAGTTTTAATAATAAAAACCTGGAGTCAGATATTGGGCGTGAAAGCTGAAAGATCAGAGAAGCAGAGCAGCCAGCCACTAGAGACTTCTTACCTCTACGAAATCTCAGACTGAGTGGGCAGGATCCTGTCTCCACCTGCTTTATATTCTTGTCTCCACCTCCCGAGTACTGGAATTTAAGGAGTGAGCCACCACCGCCTGGTTAACTAGTGGTTAGCACCACCTTCTGATCTCCAGGCAAGCTTTATTTGTCAGAACATAAACAAAATATCATACAGTTCCTGAGCCCTGAGCCCTCAGAGCCTGGGTTCCATTTGGTCTGGGTTCTAGGTTTCAAATTTGGTCACCAGGCATGTGACCTTAAACACAGGACCTAACGTCTAGGCCTCACATTCCTCACCTGCCTTGCAGAGCGTTAGGAGGTCACATTAGTTCATTTTTGTAAAGGGCTTACAACATAGTAAGGACGAGGTGAGAGCTTGTTTTTGTCACTGTTTAAAAACTCATCTCAAGAACAGGAAGACAGCTCTGTTAGTAAGGTGCTTCCTTGCAAAAAACGAGGACCTGAGTTCCATCCTCAGAACCTATGTCATGAAACTGGTCCCGGACTTACAGTCCCCATACTAGTGGACACAGGCAGGTCCCTGGAGCTCATTGGCCATACAGACTAGCCTAATCTTCTATTTTCAGGTCAGTGCAAGACCCCTGTTAAAAAACAGGGCAGGAGGTGGATCCTGATAAGTGAAAATACCTGCTGCTGTCCTCTGAAGCCACATGCATTCACATGCTCATGCATGTAAACACACACACACACACACACACACACACACACACACACACACACCTGCACACCTGCACACACATAAACATAAATTTAGAGAACACATAGTCACTTAAAAACTGGGCCTGAAGATCTGCAATCCCAGCTACTCAGGAGACTAGGACAGGAGAATCGAAAGTTCAAGGCCTACCTGGACAACCTAGTGAGACTATCTCAAAATAAAAAGAGATGGCTGTGATGTGCTCAGGGATAGGGTGCTTTCTTAGCATGCTGAGGCTCTGGTTTCAATCTCTAGTACCAAAAACAAACAAATAAAAAATCTACTTCCATTATTTTAGTATTTCAAAATGATACAGAGAGCTGGGCAATGGTGGTACACACCTTTAATCCCAGCACTCAGGAGGCAGAGGCAGGTGAATCTCTGTGAGTTCGAGGCCAGCCTGGTCTACAGAGCGAAATCCAGGACAGACTCCAAAAGCTACACAGAGAAACCCTGTCTCAAAAAAACAAAAAAGAAAAAAAAAATGATATAGAGAGCTTCTGATTTTAGTTGTAGATTGTCACCAATAATTCTGATTCACTCTAGAAAGGAAGACAGCCTTAGGAAAACGAAATATAAATGATTTGTATCTGTGATGGTTAGTTTTAATTTTCAAATTGGCACAATCTAGACTCACCAGGAAAGAGAACCTTAGTGAGGGATTTTATAGTGGGTGTGTCTCCAAGGGACTGTCTTGATTGCTCCGTGGGTGGCACCATTCCCTACGCAGAGGATCCTGGATTGTTTAAGAACGGAGAAAGCCAGCTGAGCACTGGCTTGTGTACATTCATCGCTCTTTCTTCTTGGTGATGGACATGACTAGCGGTTTCAAGTTATTGCTGCCTTGACTTGCCTAAAGTGGTGGACTGTAATCCGGAATGATGAGCTAACATAGTTCTTTCCTCCCCTAAGTTGCTTTTGTTGGGGTACTATTATTTTTTTCTTTTTAACCACAGCTGCAGGAAATGAAACCAGCACAGTACCTTTCTCTTTGTCTTTGTATCCTTTCTGTTGCTGTGATAAACATGCTGACCAAAGGGACTTAGAGGAGGAAAGGGTTTATTTCATTTTATGCTTCCAGGTCATGATTCATCACTGAGGGGAGTCAGGGCAGGAACTTCAGGCAGGACACTAGAGGCAGAAACCATGGAGGAACTGTGTTTGCTTGAGGCTCTGACTCATTCAACAGGCATATGTGTCACCCACAGTGGGCGGGGCCAGCCTACAGAAGTTTAACACAGTCAAAACAGACACTTGGAACAGCTAGATGTGCTGTGGAGCATCAGAATATGAAATCCATAGTTAAAATGATCAGTTCTGCTCTCCCATCATTATGGACGTGATAGATAAGGAATTTTCAGAAGGCAGTTGCTATGCGCCAGTCATGACTACCCATTGCCTGAAGTCATTTCCTGTTTCATATGACAACTTTAATGCCAAGAAGATGATTGATTGGCAGGGCTAATCAATCTGGAAAACGTGCATGCTTCGTTAACAGCAAGTGACACCAGCACCTCGGTTGGTTCTCATCCTGCTGATGTATGCATTTCTTTCCCACTAACTTCTTTATTGTGCTAGTTTCCTCGTGTGAATGCCGAATGTGAATAATAGTAGCTGCTTCTTGGAACCATGCTAATATACAAATGAGCCAAACACTTGGAAAGACCTTAAAACTGCACTGGCCCCAGGCAAGCGGGGATCGATCATAGTGCCCATATTGTTTTCCTATCATGGTACTGAGTTAAGATTAAAAGCACATCCATCGCCTGAGTGTCTGCCCTCTGGTGGAGAAGCAACCAAGGGCAAAAGCACACTGGAGAAATCCCTGCATGAAGTCAGTTACAGTGTTTCTGTGGTCACCTGGGGAACAACCAGAGTGGGTTGTTTTGCTCTGAGTTGGCGCCATTTAAGTCAAAACATCTGTTTTCCCAGGAGCTTGACCTGAGCTCCTCGTATATACTGGCCAGCCCTCTACTTCTGGGATGAATTTCTAGTTCTCCCTTTTACTTTTTATTTTGAGGAAGAATTTTACGAAGTCTCCAGATAGGGTCTTGAACTCACTTTGGAGCCCAAACATACTTTGAACTTGAAATTCTTCTGCCTCAACCTTCCAAGTTGCATGATTACAGCCCTGTACCACCAGGCCTCGCTACTTAATTTTCCTATGAGCAGAGGTTTGCTTGTGTTAAAAGGGTAACATGTGGTTGGGTATGTAACTCAGCTAGTAGAATGCTTGCCTGGTCCGCAGGAGGACCTGATTTCAATCTCTACCATTGCGTAATAATAATGGTAACAGCTGGGTGTGGTGGTGCATGCCTTTAATCCTCTGTGAGCTCAAGGCTAGCCTCAGCTACATAGTGAGTTCCAGGTCATCGAGGCCTACACAGTGAAACTCTGTCTCAAAAATCAAACACTATATTTATGAAAATACAGACATCACAAGTAACCAAGCAATCCCCGGCAAATAAAACAAAACAAAACAAAAAACCAAAAAACAACGTTTTGGGTCCGGGTGTAGCTCAGTTCGAAGAGTGCTGGCCTAGCATGCACAACACCCCAGGTTCATCTCCGTTACTGACTGAAGCAGGTGTGGTGGTACATTTGTGAAATCTCAGCACTGAGGAGGGACAGGGGGGAGAAGCAGGTAACGCCAGGTCATCTTCAGCTATGGAGAAAGTTGACCTTGTCTCAAGTATTTTATTGGTAACTGTACTAATATTTACTTCTCAAAATTTTATGGGGTAGGTACTACATCAAGGCCATCTTATAGATGAGGAGATTCAGCCGCTAAAATAGTCTAGTGATTTATACAGGATCATTCAGTTCCCTAATAGTGATGCCACAGAACTTCAGCTCTGCTCCCCTGGAGTTCCTGTTTCCCATTCCCATACTACCCTGCAGGGTACCTTAGACTGCACTCCTGTGAGCATCAGACACAGTGTCTCTTGGACTAAAGATGAATGAATGGTTCCAGGGTCATGGGTCAGTCTAGGCCAAGTGCCCAATGAGCAAGCATGGGGATCTGAGTTTCAGACCCCCCAGAGCCCCCACAAAAATCTGGGTGTAGTGACACATGTCTGTAACCCCAGCTCTGGGCAGACAGAGGGGTAGGTGGATTCCTCAAGCTCATTGGCTAGCCCAGCTGGCGGAACCGAGGAGCTTCAGGCTCAGTAAGAGACTCTGCCTCAAAAATAAAGGTGGAGCCTGGCAGAGGAAGGACACCCAGTGTCAGCCTCTGGTCTCCTTGTGCGTGCGCTTGCCCACACATCCACACCAATAAGTACATAGAGCACACACAGAGGAGAGAACAATAGAATGATTTCTTGTTTATGGACATCTGTCCTTGTCACATAGCTGTGGTCTAACAAGGGTCATTTCTTTCACACAGACCCTGGTGCAGGCCATACTGGATATTGTGGAAATGGAATCATGTCAACACAGTCCTAACTATGGACTCCTGATACTTTGGGCTTCTCTGGCCAACGCTCCTCTTGTGAGTACCAGGGGGACGATGGGGCTCATTTCCATCCGCTTGACTTTCTTTTGTTCTTTGGTGTTATTTTCCCTTTCTCTTCAGTTCTTCACTTACTTTGGGGAACAAAAAGAGAGCAGTGCACTGGGGTGTAAGATTAAAAGCAACAGTGAATGCTTGACAGAATCCGGCTGGGTAGCTCAGTTGGTGAGATGCTGGCCTCACAAGCTACAGTTCCTAAATGCTGGTGGGTGTGGCAGGCTGCCTGAAATCCCACTGCTGGAGAGGTGGAGACCAGGGATCTGTGGGGCAAGCTAGCCGGCTAATCTAGCCTGATCAATGAGCTCTAAGTTCAGTGAGAGCCCCTGTCTCAGTGAATGATGCAAAGAGTGACTGAGGAAGGTAACCAGCCTCAATCCCTAGCCTCTGCGGACAGGAGCATTCATGTACACACACGTCCACACACACTTCTGCACAAACATAGATGCATACATACCAGGTGCATGTGCACGCGCGTACGTACACACACACACACACACACACACACACACACACACACACACACACAGCACTCACATTTACATATTAAATCCCCCACCTCCCCAAAAATCCCACCCAAGCACACTAAGGAGGCACAGCCTAGATCCAGAGAGAATTCTGCCCCCTGACATGCCTTGCTTGCCCTTTGGGCCCCCTGTGTACCGTTTAAGGGGCTCTGACTTTGTCAGGCTGGATGCTCTGTATGCTGCACACTTGAACAAAGCCCAGCCCAGCTTTGAACCAGGCTGAGAGAATGGCAAATGATGGTTTCAGATGGAGCTGCTCATCTCCAGCCACAGGGGTGGTCACTTAAAATCTCTGTGCCCCCCATTTCCCTTGCAAGAAGTCGGGGAGGGAGGAAGGGAGAGAGAGGATATGAGTATGAGCATAAAAACTTGTGACAGTGATGCTGGCAGCAATCCCAGGGGTTGCTCATTTTTGGACAAGTCTCTGTGAGATCCAACAAGATGCTCTAGTCATGTCCGGTGAATGTGAGCGCTCCCTCTCCTCCAGGGTACCCATGCATCTGTATTTCTTGGTCCCTTGGTTCTGCAAGCTTCTCAGTGAATGGGGCTTGTGACATTGAGATTCACTGCACATCTAAAGACAGCAGGGACCTTTAAAACCCATTGATTTTTATGTACTTGTTTTAATTGATGGATTTAGTTTTCTGTTTGTTTGTTTTGAGGCTGTCTTGCTATGCAGCCTCAGGCTGCCCTTGAACTTGCAATTTCAGGTGCTGAGATTAGAGACATGAAGCACAGTGTTGGGCAACTGTTTTCTATTATATTTTTCTTTTACTAGGTGAACAAAATACTGGGTTTCCTTAGGACATATTTATCCATGTATATCATTGAACTTGGCCCATGGCTATCCTCATTACCTCTTGCCCCCCTTCCCACCCATTCCCTTCCTTCTTCCCAAATGGTCCCCCATCTGCTTCCAGGTGTGTGTGTGTGTGTGTGTGTGTGTGTGTTCCTTTAAAGCTAATGTGAACTGGGTGAAAGCCAGGAGATCTGCCTGCGATTCTCTGTTTAGCCTGCCCTGACTCCCTAGTCAGCACACTGTCTGGCTGACCCAGGCTGTTCCTTACGTTGGCTGCAGCAGAAGGATGGCTGTCTGTGTATCTCTGCTTGATGAAACAGGGACGCTCAGCCCATCTCTGGCAAGCGTAGTTATTCTTTTTCTTTTTCTCTAACCACTAGAAATAAATATTACACATTTCTCTTTCCTGTTTCTGAAGGCCTACGTGGCTAGGTGATTTTTAGGCCCCAATAATGTAACTTCTTTTAACCTGTTGCAAATAACAGAGACAGATATTCTGGCCTTTCTGCTCCAACATGTAGCACCCGGAAGAATATATAGTTCAGCAGTGGCAGTCAAGTGGGGAGCCCCATGCCTCCCCCTACTCTCTCCGCTCTCCTATTCCTCTCTGACTCTTCTCAATTAATTGATCGAACTTCAGCAACACCTAAGAGCAACTTCCAAACATGCACACAACAGCCACAGGCAGTGCGTTAGTTCTCAGGACCTTTCCAGAAAGGTCCCCTGCAGAAGCCACACAAAGCGCTATTGATCGGACACAGAGGTCAGTTCTTTGTGATTGGGCCTGGCACTAGTCTGAGAGGATGTGTCTGACGATGACCAAAAGTTTGGATCTTCCTCGTTGGCACCTCCACAGGGCAGGGTGAGGCCTGAGCAGAGACCTTGGAAAGGCCTTCTCATCAGATCTGAAGCCAGTTCCCACAGCTGGGCGACAGAGGGCTGGCTAGTCCTTTAACCTCTCCCAGCCTGCATCCGTGTCCTCATCTGAACTGCCTCCAAGGACGGTTGGGAGGATTTAACTGGAAGTAATGAAAAGTGCTTAACAACATTGGTGCTCAATAAATAATGTGTGTGCCGTACATAAAAACACCACCTTTGTTGAAATCAATGGCTTCTTTCAGTGGCCCATTAATAATGAATGTAGACTGCCATGGGTCCCAAATGCTCGACCCCTTAATGGCCAGGATGGGCATGGCCCTACGGTTTGGGCTTTTGGGATCAGGATGGGCATGGCCCTACTGTTTGGGCTTTTAGGATCACCCATTGCTAAAGAAACCCTAAGAGCTGTAAGTGATGGGTGGGTCATTCAGGCCCAGATGGGGTCAGTGCTTCTCTTCTCCATTGCAGCCCCCAGAGCCTGTGCTTTAGATGGCATGGTTACCTGCTCACCAGGAGGCTCTGTTTTGGCCCAGGTGTGCTTTGACAGACCATTGCAAGATTTTGGCCATAATTCATAAGATTATGTTGATGGAAAAACCATTTCCTAGTTCTAAGAAGTTCCTGACTGGCCAAAGAACTTTCTAGAACATTTCTCAGCTGTATCAAAGCTGACTTTTTATCTGCTGCTTCTCTGAAGCGGTAACTATGCTCAGCGGCCGTCATGGCACCGTTCTGCTCAGTTATTGTCATGGTAGCATGTGTGTGGCCTTGCACAGTGACCTCTGCTCCCCTGCCCAGCTGTGTGTATTTCACATCTCTAACGTCAAGTTCTTTGATCAGAAACTGCTTTATATGTATTGGTGTTTGCCATGATTGATAGAAGATTATCTGGAATGTTATAGAGATTTGTTCTTTCTTGTTTCAAAAAAAGGTCAATGATAGCCATCACTTTGAGCTCTAAATGAGAATATTAAGTATACAACAAGCCAAAGTAAAAAGATAAATAGCAAGTGATGAATAGATGATGGATGGATGGATGGATGGATGGATGGATGGATGGATGGATGGATGGATGGGTGGATGGATGGATGGATGGATACATAGAAAGACATCATCAAATCAGGCACTCTAAACATCCAGCAGAAATCAGCTGGGAAGACATTTGAAGACATCCAGTTCTGGGTCTCCATGGAGAGAGTCTCCAGCAGAGCAGTCTCCTCTCTGCTGAGAGTTCCAAGTGAAAGAACAGGCAGCAACAGAGAGAGATGGCATCAACAAATCAGGTGCTCAGAGTGTCCATCGGAAACCAGCTGGGGAAACGGAGGCAGCCGGACTTCCCAGCTAAGCTTGCTCTCCAGGGGTGAGCTTGCCATGGCGATGCTTCCGGCTTCTCCTTCCCACTCTGCAACTTTTACAGCATGGCTGAACAGTGATAGCATCTGGTGGGAATGGCCTGCCCTCCTGCTGTTCTCCAGGGCACAGTGCTGTCTTGATCTAACTCGTCTGTTGTCCTTCTTCTCTGTCACAGAGTGGGGACCTCTCTGTGGTCCCATTTCTCACACCAGAGGAGGCTGGCTCACTCCTGACATTAACACACTAGGGTCTGAAGTGGGGGAACCAACCCCACTTCCAGTGCCAGCTTCTCAGTGAGCTTACACAGCACGTGGCGATTAACTTACATATGGCTCCTCCTGGACTCCATCAGCATCCACCACATCTCCTCTTGGATGCTGCTGAAGGATCCAGCCAGCCTCAGAGCCTCCTTCCTCATCTCTTCTCACTTCCTCCTTAGCTCTCCTACAAGTGGCTTTTTGTAGCCGCCCTGCAGTTTGGTGGCCAGTTGGCTTTCTTTTTTGCACTCTGACCATGGACTTGACCCTTTGGCATAATACTGATTGTTACTCCATTGGGCAGCACTTTTGAAATCCTTTACCAAATGTGTCAGTGACCTTTGCTTTTTGATTCAGTATTGCCTGGAAACATTCTACTAACTCTTTAATACCTTTTCCTATGTTTATGTTTTTGTTTATTGAGACAGGGTCCCACGCTAGCCTTTGAACTCATAATCCTCTTGCTTCAGTTTCTCAAGTAGAGTCCAGGACTATAGGCATGTGCCAGGCCGCCTAGCCCTTTCCTTAGTTTTAAGAAGTATAGAAATCACTTGTCCTTTTGGCTAAGGTGAAGTGGGTTATCGGTTCTTATCAGTGTAATATCACACACATCCTCTCTCTGAGGACAGGACAGTCAAAACAGACGTTTGGAGCTGGGAGGCAGAATGAGAGCTTGCACTGTCCACCCACTGCATGCAGCGATCTGCTATTGCGGCACCTCCAGCAATGGTGCACCCCACTTGGGGGAGCATCTGGAAAAAGTACTCCTTCCCCCTAACTATTGTAGGGGGAGGCAAGGTCTCATGTAATCGTGTAGCCCAGGTTGGCCTCACACTGGTTCTGTCAGGGAGGATGGCCTTGAACTCCTTATCCTCTTATACATCCCAGGTGCTGGGATCACTGTCCTGTACCCTCACACCAAAAGTTCATTGTTTTGTTTTGATTCATTTTATTTTATGTATGAGTATTTTACCTGCACATGTGCCTGTGGAGGTCAGAAGACAGCAGATCCCCTGGAATTGGAGTTCTGGGTGGTTGTGAGCTGCTGCATGGGTGCTGGGAACCGAACCCAGGGCCTCTGCAAGAGTAGCAAGTGCTATTAACTGCTGAACGATCTCACCAGCCCTCAAAAGTACTGCCTTAAAGGTAAAACAATAATAATAATAATAATAATAATAATAATAATAATAATAACAGACTTTAACAATAGGAAAGCTGTTAAGGGAAAAAGCACTTTACACCATCGTGCAGCCATTTGTTATTGAGCTGAATTCTAGAGTTTTCCATAAAAATAAATGGTGCCCAATTTTAGTGAGTCTCAAAACCGCAGTCCGGCACACAGGAGCTCTTCTTGTGGAACGGAAGGTCTCTGAGCATCACTGGGATGCGTTCTCCAGTGTGAACTCTGACTTCAAATACAATGAATCAAGTATGGAGTGATTATTAATCAAATCCAATAGCTTTTAGCGCTTCCGTTGATCGCTGATGGGAGGAAGAACCTGAGGAGGGAGACAGGAGAGAGCTCCCTGAGGGTGTGTGAAGATGAGCTAGATAATCCTCAGGCTAAGTTCTTCCGGGTCGGATGCTGCTCCAGACTGTCTGCACTCCAGGGCCCTGGGCCCCGGTCCTCTCGTTCCTCTGTCTGAACAAGGCTGTATGTACATCCTTGTGTTCCCAAGGATGCACCAGGGAGGAAGGCAGCCTGAGCTTGGCTGTCTTCAACGCTTCCCTTCAGTACTGCTCTTCCCCTTTTGACCACACGGGGGAGGATTGGGATCATTTCAAGGGACATCCTGTTTCACAAAAGCAATAAACCGACAAAAGACATAAGTTATACAAAGTGTTACCTGGGTCACCTCAGAACTGATTTCAAAATAATTTTTCCCACTTGCAGTTATTTTATTGATATTTTCCATTTTTGAGAATTTCCTGCATCGGTGCTGTATTTACATCATTTCCACCTCTCCCTTGTCGTCCCCCCCCCCCCACTCCTCCTCTGTCTGCTTCCACTCCCTCTCAAGCTCATGATCTCTTCTTTAATACAGTAGATGCTGATAGGAAAACAGTGAGAGGGAGATCCAGCCTTCTCGGGATCAAACATTCCTGTATTGTCTAACCTTAGAAGCAAAAACCTCCACCTCAGCAGGAAGCTCATTTTTAAGATGCACATTTTTATCTTACGCATATTATATAGGGAAGATATGAAATACTCTTTTTTACTCAAACTCATTTATTGTGATAAATATTAGGGATGAAAAAAATTATTACTCTCCAAAATATGGTAGCTGTTGATTTAAAAAATGCACACATGAAGACTGTTCCGGGGTATTTATTTGGGGGTCAGACGTTAAAGCAAAAGAGACCACTCATGGAAGCATCCAAAGCCTGCAGGTTGAGTGGTCCAGGGTAGAAGCAGAATTCTGCACAATCGAAAAGATGGATGTAGTCTACTTGCTAGGAGACATTTATAATTGATGACAAATTCCAATAGAGATCCTGGCTGTCCAATCTATGTCAGAAGCAGCTGCGTTCAACTTAGTTAAAACCCTAGACTGAGGTTCGAAATTCCTACAAATAGCAAATAGATAATCATTTGTATATTACCTGTGTTTCCATTGAACATTGAAAATTACGTTAATAGATACAAAATAATCCTGATATGCCAAAAGGGAGAATTTACGGGTGTACTGGGGTATAAAGTGGCTCTGTTTTCTTGTGGTGAAGTTTCATCGTCTGTTTGTTAATTTTACTTTTATTCTATATTAATTTTGAGGAGTGCTGGGTACTGAACCAGGACTTGTATGTTCATACCATACCAGTGTCCTACCGTCAAGCCTCATCTCCAGCCCCCCATAGTTTACTTAATGAGACTTAAGTATGGTTTCCTGGAATTATTTAAAATTATTATGTTTTAGTTGCAAGAAGAAAATTTTCTGGTTCATTCTCATTCCCTCTCTCTTGTTTTCAACATAGCCTTGTTGTATAGGCCTGGCTGCTATGAAATTCACCTGGAAGCCAAGTTGTCCTTGAACTCATAGCAATCCTCCTGCCTCTACTTCCCAGATTGTAGCTATGTGCCACTACTCTCCTCTGCTTCATTTGTATTTTAAGGTTATTAAATCATGGCAATATTTTCATGTTGTATTAACATTCTTAGATTATGATTTGTTCTGAATATTTAGTGAATGGCTTCATGGCATTTCATGTTTCTTGTTAGTAAACACAATTCTATCTTTTCTAGTTCAGCAAAGATAGTTGCCTCTATGTAAATAGTATAGCTAAACTATAGCAACAGAATTGGTGTATACATTGGACATCTTAATGATATCACTCTTATTTTAAAATCTGGTGTTTTACCCCCATGTACTACATGTATGCAATGCCCACAGAGGCCAGAAGATGGCGTCAGATCCTCCAGGACTGGAATTACAGATGGCTGTGAGCTATGATGTAGATTCTTAGAACGCAACCTGTGTCCTTTGGAAGGGCTGGAAGTTCTCTTGACTGCTAAAGCCCTAATCGTGTGCTTTTGAGGTTGACTGAAACACTGTCCTTGCTTCTTTCAGCTGCCTACAGCTAACACTAAATTTGCTTTTGTCACCTTGGGAGAAGGTTTCACGTTGGATGTGTTCCTCTTTTCCAGGTTGCGTTCTGGACACTCGGGTTTGTCCTGTCTCATCCCGACATCCACAGGACCATTTTAGAAGGCATAGCTTCCGTGTTTGGCACTGCAGGTACTGACTTCATTTACGTCATTAAGGACTCATTTAGTGTCTGTGGTTTGGATCTTGAATGTCTGCCATGTTTTAAAGTCGGGGACCAGGGCTGGGGAGATGGCTCAGGTGGTAAAGTGCTGGCTGCCCAAGCGTGAGGACCTGAGTTCAATCCCCAGCACCGACACTAAAAACAAACAACAAACAAACAGATAAAAGGCTGGGCATGGTGACACACACTTGCAATCCCAGTGTTTAATGTGTAAAATTAGGGGCTGTGATGAGAAAAATAGAAAATAACTTTATTTTCTTGTTGAAAAGTTTAATATCATTGTATAAAATACCACACGAGTTAAAAGTTGTTCCTCCCTTGCCTCCTCCATAATGGCTGAAAATATCATTTCAAAAATATTTTATTTGGAGTCTTTGTCAAACTCCAGCAAACTTGGCTAGCCTGGGTACCTAAACGATGCCCTGCCAGCCCAGAAGGTGAAGCCAGCAGTACCGGGCTTCATCACCGAGAACTAGTGATGCTCACCATGGGATTCCAGAAACACACTGAGGAGTACAGGGAAAGGCCACTGCCCTCCACAGAGCTCGGGTCTACAGAGCTGCCCAGCGGTGTGCATAGCCCCGTGTCCACGGTGAAGAAAGGGCAAGCAGGCGTCCTGACTCATGCTCTGTCCCCATCTGCTGGCACCTTTCCTGACTTCAAGTTCTCCGGATTCCTGCTCTTCAGGAAATACAAGGCCAGGACAGGAATGGTGGGGATGATGTGGAGAGCCCACGTGGCTCAGAGGCCACAACTGGACTGTGACGTGTCTGTGGGGCTTGAATTCGGAGCTCTTACACGTGGCTCCAGTGTAAAAAGACGAGACCCCCTTCTCCCCTTCTGTACCCTGGTTTGTTTTCAGAACCTGTTATTATTCTCTATTAACAGAAAAGCATCCCTTCAAACTGTCTCATGGGAATAGTTGTGGTGTATCGATGATTTCCATTGTAAGTTGTTACTGTAGAAAAGAAAACAACTCATAAAAATATAAAACTTTAAAAAGCCATATGTGTACAGAGGTAGCCCAGAGCCCTCTAAACAAATAAAATATCTCAGAACCAATGATGTGTAAGCTGTAGTAACAGCTCAGAGATTCAGATGTGGGAGGAGCCCACGAGGCCAGGAGTCTTGGAGACTGATATTGAGGAAGATATCCATAAATCTACACAAAAAGGGAATATTAGAGGATGCTGTAATCAAATATTCTCCAGAAAAATAGAACCAGTTAAAGATGGTTGGATGGATGCCTAGACCATAGGTTATTAGGTATATAATTAGATAGATAATAAATGAATGGAGAGCTCTAGAAAGATTTAGTTTATTTTTAAAGCTTATTTGTATTTTTAAATTATATGGATGTTCATGTAACTGTATGTGGGTATAAGCATATGAGTCCAGGTTCCCACAGATGCCAGACCATGGAGTCACATCCCCTGTAGTTGGAGTAGCAGGCTCTTGAGAGCCACCTGATGTGAGTGCTGGGAACTGAACTTGGGTCCTTTGCAAGAGCAGCAGGGGTGAGCTCTTCACCCCAGAGCCCGGAAAGAGCTTTATGATGCGAAGTTGGTTGGTGTGATTACAGATCCTAGTGGTACACAGTCTTAGTCATGTGATCTCACGGGAAGTCTGTCCAGTCAGTTTGGTGGTTTCTCCAGAACTGGACGTGGATTCCTTTATTCTGTGCCTCCCGTTCTTGGCCAAGGGCCGCTATGAGCATGTCAGGTGCTCTCAGCATCCAGCCAGCCACTGAGAACTGCCTTGGCTCCTGCCCTCTGCTTGTGCAGAGCCTCATGGCCAGCCATGGCAGGAGGAGGGTGTTTTCAGGGCTCTCTGGAGCAGGATACACAGCCCTGCACAATTGAACGGCCTTCGGCTTGCGCAGGAACACAGACCTCGCCAAAGCTGCTACAGACGCCTGTTCCCTAGGCTTTGGGTTTCAGATGGTGTGTGTCCCATCTACTGCCTCAGGTGGCTGCGAGGTGAACAATGACCTTTAAAGGGTTCTCTCCCAGAACCTCTTGGGAAAAGCTCCCTGCTTTTCTGCTTCAGAAGTTTGGAAGACAAACAACGAATTACATTCTACTTGGTGCGTTATTTTGGGAGAGGAAAAAAAAAACCAATGATCAGTTTAATGCATTAGTACGCTAAGACTATTATTAATGGCTGTCAAAGAAAACAGAATTGGGTGTGGATAATTACCAGTACCAGGGGTGGAAACGTGTGTTGAGTAGGTGAACCAGGTGTAGCACGAATCTTAAAAGGTCTTATTAATAAAAACAAACCTGGAGCCAGGTATTGGGGTGAATGCTGGAAGATCAGAGAAGCAGAACAGGCCATAGCCACCGCACCTTGCCAATTTCTCAGCTGATCCTGTTACCTCAGACTAGAAGCCTCTCAGTCCTCATCCAGAATGAATCTCAGCTGAACTGCTTCTCGAAAGTCTGAAAGCTTAACCAGGCCTAGTTCCTGGTCCTCATGCCTTATATACCTTTCTGCTTCCTGCCATCACTTCCTGGGATTAAAGGCTCTTGTTACCGCGCCTGACTATTTCCAGTGTGGCTTTGAACTCACAGAGATCCAGATGCCTCTGGAATGCTAGGATTAAAGGCATATATGCCATCATTTTCTGGCCTCTATCTAGTGGCTGTTCTGTTCTCTGACCCCAGATAAGTTTATTAGGGTGCACAATATTTTGGGGAACACAATATCACCACAACCAGGCTTGGCCTTATTGGTAAGATGCATTGAGCAAGGACGTGAAGTGACAGGTAGGAATCTAGAGGAAGGGGCAGCAGATGTGATCACATTGTGTGCCCACGGGATCTGCAGTTCTGTTAACACGGTCCTGCCGTTCATTCTGCAGCAGAACGTGTGAGAAATGGATTCACCATAGAGGGAGGAACTCTAAGGTTCCATCTCTCCCGATGCCCTTCCCTTCCCCTTGACAGGCATACCTGCCCTTCCTTGTTTGGTTTTCTTTTGTTTTAAACCACAAGAACTTGCCTAGTTCATGGCCTTAACTCTCTATTTTACAGCCATCTGCTCCCAAGTCATTTCTAGAAGTTTCTAATATAAAGCGTGAACCGTGGGTTGATCACAGCAGGCACTCTGGGGAGATGCATCTTGTCTCATTCTTTTCCCTTTTCTGCCCCGGAAGCCATCCCTGCCCCTTCCTCTCCTGTGGTGCCTTTCATTTCCCAGCAGCACCTGCTTCTTTCTCCAGATCCCTGGCTCTGCATCCTGTCTGCTTGTGGTCAGCAGGGTTTCCCAGAGTGAGCAGGAGCTCCCTCCAGCTGATGGAGGGTGGCTTTTTGTTTGGTTCTTTGTTTTGTTCATAATGAATTAGTTAAAATGTTGTGGAGTTTCCAGGAGGGCTGATGTGCTGTGCCTGGAGCGCAGAGCCAGTAACTGCTCCCAACCAGGCCACGGACTGTCTGGCAAGCCCAGCGTGCCCACTAATGCCAAGCACACGGTGACACTGGCAGAGGACACTGAGCTAAATGACATTGTGTCCCTGGGAACTTCAGCCTGTGAAATCTGCAGTTGGTGCCAGGAAAATCACAAGCTCAATCTCCGTGTCTTCATATCACTAGCTTTTCCGTTCCCCTTTCCTACTTCTTTTTATTTTATATTATTTTTATTCATGTGTAGTTATATGCCTGTATTTGTGTATTCACAGGTGTGTGTGTGTGTGTGTAGGTATTCACAGGTGTATATCTGTGAGAGTGTATGTATATTCACAGGTGTGTGTGTGTGTGTGTGTATTCACAAGTGTGAATGTGTGTGAGAGTATATGTAGTGTGTATGTGTGTGAGAGTAGATGCCTGAGAAGGCCAGAGGAGAGCATTGCATCTGTTAGAGCTGAAGTTACAGCTCTAGTTACTGCTCCAGACCTGAGTTCTGAGTTGAACAACACATGCTCTTCAAGCTGAGTCATCTCTCTAGTCCTGTTATCACTAACTCTTAATTCAAGATATCAGACTGCTTGTGCTGACCCGAAGTCTTTCTTCATGGTCCTGCCTGAGCTTCAGGGGAGACAAGAAAAGCAAGAATCCTGAGGTTTCTATTCTGGGGTACTCAGGCAAGCTTCTGCTGAAACATAGGCAATGATGATGATGATGATGTGTGTAAAGTACTTACATATGGTTTGCATGTATATAAGTGTAAGAAATGTGCTTATATCATATTTTTATGAAAGTAAATCTGTGTGAATGTAGTGCGTATGTGACATATCCGTGAGTGTGAGTGTGAGTGTGTGTGTGTGTGTGTGTGTGTGTGTGTGCGTGCACGTGTGTGGGGCATTCTGCATCTATCTCTACTTTTTCATTGAGGCAGAGTTCTCTCCCTGAACTTGAGGCTTGTGTCTTTTCAACCAGGCTGGAGGCCTGCAATTCTCCAGGATCCTTCTGTCTCCACCCACTTTGGTGTTGGAGTAACAGGCTTTCAGGGGACTCCTGGCTCACTATGTGGGTCCTGGAATCCAAACTCCAAGCCTTGTGCTTACACAGCAAGCTCTCTTAGCTCACCCAAGCCGTCTCTCCAGCCCACAACTGACAATTTCAAATAGTACAATGGCTACCTGAAGTCACTGTGTGCTAGCCAAAAACATGTTCATTCTCTTTCTTGTTATTTTTTAATTAAAAGAATCTACAAACTGATAGTTCAATTAGACCTTGATTGTGTTTTCATGAAGAGAACTTTCCCCAAATGTATCTTCTCTTATGAAATTTCATCTGTCCAAAATGGTGAGTATTGCTGTGCCCACAGAACTGAAGAGCAAATTAAATTACTTGACTCTTTGCTTTCAATTAAGCTGCACATTATTAAATTACATATTAGTTATTATTTTTTTAAACATACATTTTTCAGACGAGGTTTTCTGTAGTCCCAGGCTAACCTTGAACTCACAGATAAGTCCAGGCTCATCTCAGATTTGCAGGAACCCTTCCGAGTGCTGGGTACCGGCTGC